TTTTTTTTTTTTGTGGTACTGGGTATTGAACTCAGGACCTTCTGTTTGAAAGGCAGGTGTGGTACTACTGAGCTAAATCCCTGGACCTCTGGTAACTTTTTTTGGGGGGGTGTTGAGACAGGGTCTCACTATGTAGTTTGAGACTGACCTGGAACTCACTATGTAGTGCAGACTGGTCTTGAACTCACAGCTATCCTCCTGCCTCAGCCTCCCAAGTGTTGGGATTACAAGTGTGCGTCACCACACCCAGCATTATTACCTTTTTAAAAATGAGCATTTACTAATTATGAGTTAAGAATTTAAAGAAACAAATTTTAAAAATGTTTATGTAAGTGATTACTGATGTCACCTTCCCTTCCAAGATTCAGAATACTTTTAAGCACATGTTGTTCCCTGGATAAAGACAAATGGCTCTCGAGTTTCATGGCCAAATTATTTGCCAATGAGTGTGGCTTATAGGCTGTTTTTCATACTATTTCCAGCTACTTTATAAGCTAGATATATCCAGGATGGAGGCTGATTTTAAATCTATACAGGTTTCCACATGATAGAATATAAAACATTGTATACAGGGGTAGAAGTGGGCCAATATCTTTAACTTGTTACTTTTAGTTATTTTGCGTATTGTACATACTGTCTACATTGTAAAGTCATTTTCATAATAGGCTATTCTTTCTTTCTCTCTTTTTCTCTTGGCAGTACGAAGGATTGCACCTAGAGCTAAGTATGTGCTGTAGCATTGAGCTATATTCCCCATTCCATAAAAACTGTTACTAAGGAAAGCAGTTGCCTGGCATGGTGCATGCCTGTAATCCCAGTCCTGGGGAAGCCCAGGCAGGATTGCTGGAAGATCGAGGCAGCCTGGGCTATATAGTGAGCTCAAGGCCAGCCTGAACCATGCAGCAAGACCCTGCCTCAAACAAGACAAACCCTGTACTTGCAGAACTCTATCTAGCACTTACTTTGTATAAGGTAATGTGCTAAGAACCTTGACATATGAAGTACATGCAAGTCAAATACATTCCTGTTTTCAGGAAGGAACTTCATTCTACTCTAAATATAAAATTGGATGGCAAGTGATAGCAAAGATAGAAACAAAGCACTGTGGCTTTAGAAACAGAAAATATGTATGATAGGTGGAAATTGGGAAAGAATTTATAGAAATTGGACATTGAGTGATTTATATTGTTAGGCATAAAAGTTCATGTGTTTCAGAAATTAAATTATTCAGGAAAGAACAAATTGGGCAGAGGACTAGAAATGAGAAAATGGTAGAGTGAGGGAAAATACTAAGATAATGGCTATAAAACATCTAGCACAGTACATGGCATATTGTAAGTACTCATTGAACTTTTTGCTTCTTTCTAATTCAGGTATGTTTACTTGAAGGAGTATTTTCAAGTTACCAATACAAACAAACAAAAACCTAAGTTTTAGGTTGATTTGACAAATTAAGTGTATTGTCCAGATGATTTTCTTAATTGTAAGTATGGTTGTAAAACTAGAGTAGGAATCAGTCAGTACTTTAGGTTAATATGAATCAAATTTCTGAACCATTTCTCTCCTCAGAAATTGACCTGTTGAGAAACGAGATACAAACACTAGGAAGAACCTGCTCTTGTGCACTAAGGGTAGGACAATGTCACAAGTTAAAAACTCTTACTCCTTTGATGCTCCCTCGGACTTCATCAATTTTACATCTTTGGATTATGAGGAAGATACAGAAAATGTGGACTCATGGTTTGGTAAGTATCTGCTTTCTCTGGCCCTTTTAGGGTTATGCTGAGAATCTTTCACAAATAGAAAGGGTTGTAAGAAAATAACTAGAACATAACCTTTGTTTTGTACCAAGATATCTTGTCACCTATAGAAATCCAGTTGACTTTTGAAATACATGGGTTTGAAGTTTAGTTTTTATTTTTTTATTTTTCTTTTGGATTTGTGATAATTTGAAAGAACTCAGATGAAAATTAAGAATACCTTAGGTATGTCATGAGTACATAAAATATATAGACAGTAGTCTTATTTTATCATTTACTACCATAAAACATGCAAAGATCTATTATAAAAGTTAAAGGCTAGAGGGGAGTACATGCCTGTAGTTTTAGCACTTGGGAGGCCAAGGCAGTGGGTTTGAGCCCAGCCTGGGCCACGTAATGAGTTCAAGGCCATCCTGAAATGCAAAATGAGACCTTGTCTTTAAAAAAAAAAAACAGAACTAAACACGGGGATTTAGCTTAGTGGTATGGTGTCTGCCCTAGCAAGCACAAGGTCCTGAGTTTGATCCTCTGATACTGGGGGGAAAAAAACCACCCCCCCCAAAAAAAACCCCAAAAGTTAAAATTTACCAAAACTTATATACATGTTGTTATATGCAGAGAGAAATGTAAATAAATGTGAAGATGCAGTATTAAGTCATAACTATACAATTAACTGGTACAATAATTGTGTAGTTAGCTTGTGTTTTGAATAGCCAAAGTTCTCTGCAGATTTTCGACTTGTGTGAGTCAGTGCTATAACTTTTGAGGTATTCAGGGGTCAGCTGTAATTGAAATTCCCCGTATTTTGGGAATGGACCCTTAAGTACAAATTAATGTTATTTTGCAATTTAGTGTGATAGGTTTTGGGATGTGAGAAAATCCAAATAAAACAATGTTTAGTGAAACTCAAGGACTCAAACATGTCTGTAGTGGTGGCAGCCACCTAAAAATTTGTTCTATTATTTGGGTATAGAGTATAATATTACAACTAGAATATTGACACTGGTGCAATTTATTGCTTTCACTCAGATTTCTCCAGTTTTACTTGTATTCTTTTTCTTTTGTGTGTGTGTTTGTATATGTATTAAGTTCTTTGCAATTACTAAATTTTTTTTTTTTTTTTGTACTGGGGGTTAAACTTGGGACCCTGAACTTGTGAGGCAGGCAGGGGCACCACTGAGCTAAATCCCCAGCCCTCGATTTTTAATTTTTTTTAATTAAATTCAATTAATTAATACATACATGCATACCAGGGATCGAACTCAGGACCTTGTACTCTCAAGGCAGGCAGCAGAACCACTGAGCTAAATCCTCAGCTCTTGATTTTTTATTTTTTAGACAGGGTCTTTTCTAAATTCAAGCTGGCTGGCCTTGAACTCACTATCTAGCCCAGGCTGGCCTGGAATTCATTGTGATCCTCCTGCCTCAGCCTCCTAAGTGCTGGAATTACAGGCATGTGCCACCATCCCCAGCCAATTTCTTTCCAGTTGTATCACCTGTGTGTAGGTTTGTATATCTACCATTTCAGTCAAGATATATTGCATAGTTTTACCATCACAGAGATCCTGTTTTGCCCTTTAATTTGTCTTTCTTTATTTTTGAAACCAGAATCTCATTATGCTTTGCTGTGGTAGCCTTGTCCTCATAAGCGGTCCTCTCACCATAGCTTCCTGAGTAGCTGGGACGGCAGATGTGCACCACTGTGCCTGGCTTTTTTCCTATTTATTTATTTATTTATTTGAGACCTGGTCTTGCTATGTTTTCCAAACTGGCCTTGAGCTCACTATGTAGCCCAGGCTGGCCTCAAACTCATGTCGATCCTCCTGATTCAGCTTCCCAAGTGTTGGGAGTATGGTCACATGCCATCCGCCCGTGGCACTTGTTGCCCTTTTACAACTACACTCACCCTCTCCCCTCAGTCTTTGTTTTTTGTTTTCTTTCTCGAGACAGGTCTCACTGTGGTCGCTCAGGCTGGCCTCAAACTTGTTACTTGCTGCATCAGCCTCCCAAATGCTGGGTTATACAAGTGTACCACCACGCCTGGCTTCTCTCAGTTGTTTTTTAGTTTTGGTTTTGTTTTGATTTGTTGCAATACTATGAACCTAGGGACTTTACAACATCCCTAGCCTCATCTTTTTTTGTTTTTGGTACCGTGGATCCAACTCAGGACCTTGTGCTTACCAAGCAGGTGCTGTGCTGCTGAGCTAAATCCCTAGCTCTTTTATTTTTTTGAGGTAGGTTCTTGCTATGTTGTTCAGGTCAGCCTTGAACTCACTATGTATGTAGCCCAGGCTGGCTTTGAACTCATGGTGATCCTCCTGCCTCAGCCTCCCAGGTTCTGGGATCACAGGTATGCGCTGCCATACCTGGTGTTATCTGGTGTTTTTTTGGTTTGTTTGTGTTTGTTTTTGCTTTTTTGGTTTTTTTGAGACAGGGTCTCACTATGTAGTTGAGACTGACCTGGAACTCACTATGTACTCCAGGCTGGTCTCAACTCACAGGGATCCTTCTGCCTCAGCCTCCCTAGTGCTGGGATTACAGGCAGTGCAGTGCTGGGATTACAGGTGTGCTCCGCTACCACGCCTGACCTTGGTTTGTTTGTTTTTAAGAGACATAATCACATCAAGTTGCTCAGATTGGGTTTGAATTTGAGAGCTTCCTGCCTCAGCCCTCTAGAGTTTTAGAATTATAGAATTACAGCCTTATGCCACTGCACCTGACCCCTCAATATTTATTTGGTACCTGGGATTGAACTCATCCTTGCATTTGTGAGGCAGGCAGCAGAACCACTGAGCTAAATCCCCAGCCCTCTCAATTCATTTTTTCGGTTTTTTTGAGACAGGGTCTCACTATATAGTTGAGACTGACCTGGCTGGTCTTGAACTCACAGTGATCCTTCTGCCTCAGCCTCCCGAGTGCTAGGAAAGCTGCCACGCCCAGCTTTCTCAATTCATTTTTAAATGGGGATGTTATGCTACTAAGAACCTGATCCCCTCACTTAGATAGAATTCATGATTTAGTTCCTGTGATGTGGCACAACCACTAAAACCAGGCCAATAGTAAATAAGAGTGTGAAAGAAAAAAAAAAGTAAACAAGGATATGGTTGTCTTTGTATACCTTTGGGATAATATGTGAGAACAGTAGTTGATGGGGTCCCTTCATTTTTCTCTTTTCTCTGACTTCCTTATTAAAAAAAATCGTTATCAGTTTGTGGTAGTGACAAAAATGATTCCATTGTAGTTGCACTTATCACTCATAGTGCAGTGTCCCAATGTGACAGTACCTGCCATTCTCTTGGAAAAGGATTTAAATGGCATCCACTGGGGAATCCTGACAATAAGAGTCTGTTGGAAGTAGTGTGGGAGGAAAAGTAGATATAGGCGGGGTCAACTGTTCTAGAGGCATCTTCCCCTTGCCCTTGCTTTGCTAGGACCTGGAGAATATGCTTGAGCTGAGGATTTTTTTTTCAAGTGTTTAAAAAAATAAGAACAAAAACCAAAAATGAAATATTAACTAACAGTACTGTTACAGTTTAGAAGAAAAAAATTTACCCACAATCTTTCAGAATTACTTTTGCTCTAGTATTACTTTCTCATTTTCTTCCAGATAATACCATCTTTTTTCACACTTGTAGTCAGAGCGCATGTGCACAGAGTAGCTGTTGCTGGGGCTCTCTGCATTCCTGAAGCCCTGTGAGTGGACTATTGGTAGAACAGACCTTTTCCTGTTTTGCACTGACTTCCAGGCACAGCAGAGCCTAAGATAACATGCCTTGAGAGAAACTAGCTGTCCTCCCTTCTCCCACATCCCACACTCTCATCTTACTACTCCTGTTGAAGAAGAATCTGTGCCTAAGATAGCCAAGCAGTTGCTATTGGCTACAGTTTCCTTTAAGAGGAGCACGATGTACTTAGGTGGTAGATAAGGCTGGGTCATGTGTGGCTGATTGTGTATTAAGCAAAGATGGTACAAGGCAGAATTTATACTTGTCTATCATATGTTGTTCGATGTTGCCATTTTTTGAGTGAAAGCTTTTGCAGTCTATCTCTGATATATAATGTGTACTCATTTCCTTTTGATTGCTAGAATTTTGCTTGTATTTGTGACATGAGCTGGAAGAATATTGGAAGAGGGCTTTAGTCCCCGTTTTAAGTACCTGTTGCTGATTTGTTTTGCTTACTGTTTGGATGATACTGACCTTACCTTTTTACAGAAGAGAAGGCCAATTTAGAGAATAAGTTTCTTGGGAAAAATGGGACAGGAGAGCTTTTTCAAAACAAAACTTCCCTGAGAAAAGCAAATCTTCAGCAAGCTAGTCTTACACCTTTGCGACCAGGTAAGAAAGAAAATCATAGAAAAAAAGCTCCTTGACAGAAAGGTGGGGCAGTATATTAGGAGCCTGGGGAGCTGGGGAAATTACCTAAATGCTCTATCATGGTAAAATGGGTTAATTCATTTCACGATGAATATAAAGCTAATCATGTGCTGTGTTTTTGTAAAATATATCTGTTGAAACTTACGCTAATATAGAATTCTACTGCTAAGTACATAATTGTTGTCTTTTTTTTTTTTTTTTTTT